CCCAATGTGGCATTTAAATTTGATGAAAACAAAACAAAAAAAATGTCCACCACCGACATGGAGTCCTTTTTTTCATTCTCACGTCTCAGCAAAAAGTGATAGTCGGAAACACGTCACAAGAAAAAAAAACTAAAATGAATGAATGGATTTCTGTTCAGTTATGATCTGTAGTGGCCTTTAATGTGTAATAAACGATAGGAAAAAAACCCACCATGAAAACCCCCCAAAAACCCCAAAACAACACTCAATAAACCAGAAAAGTAAAATATAAGATGACAAACATCCCACTAGTGGATCTACAGCTGCACAAGCCATAAAATGTAAATAAAATAAAATAAAAATAAATAAAATAATTACAGAAAATAAAAAAAATCAGCTCAAATAAAAATGTAGTTAAAATATTGAAGGTAAAATATATATAATTGTCCAAATACACATTTTAAAAATGCTAATTAAAAGAAAATACTTAAAATACTTACCATCTATCTATCTATCTATGTTCTGTTTTTCATCATCTCTCTCTCTCAGGGGCTCATTATCTAATTACCCATCATCCCCAGGTACATTAGTGATTCTGGCAGGCTGTCATTGTGCTTGTTTATATGACTTAAAACAGACCGATGCACACGTGCACGCTCGCCGCCCGTGCACGCCCGACGTACGCAAACACGCCCAGGATCTGTTAAAGTCAGCTGGAGCACTGAGGATTGGAGTCTTTGCTAATGAGCACTCCAGACAGCTGTTGCTTTTCCTTGCTCGGCGGTGCATTTGGCTTGGTAGCAGAACATGGATTGCTGGACTGATGTCTCCGGGAAGCAAGTTCAAAGGAAAACAGCCAAGTTTTTTTGGGGGGAAAGCAGCTTGTAGTTCAAGTTAGATGTACTCTCATCACAAAAAAAACAACAAAGATCTACTGAAGACATTGTGGTGCTTCATTGAATGTGAAAGGTTGTGTTCTGCACATCCAAACATGCAATAAACTGAACTGCATGTAATAACACATATCATGTTGTTTTCAGTCATTTTGGACGTTCTATGACATGCACCGTATGTTGTTGTTCTTCCAGGTGACTGCGTGAAGCAGACAGTGCAGGGTCATGGTGTTAAAGGACTGTACAGAGGCCTGAGCTCGCTGCTGTATGGATCCATACCCAAGTCTGCAGTCAGGTGTGTGAAACAGCTTACAGGGGTTTATATGTGCTGTGCAAGGTTAATGTATTCACTCCAGTACAGGTAAGATCTGTGACGTTAAGCGCCAATTCACAACATATGTCAGCTCAGGGCACTTCACAAACTAAAGAGAAGACAGTATGCATTACACACATAGAAACACATCCAAAGTTCTGTCTGGATTCCTTATGAGCAAACACTTGGCAACACTTGGAAGTAAAAAAAACAAACAAACTCCAGGAGAACCAGGTTCAGGGAGGGCGTCCATCTGCCTCAACCAGTTGGAGTGAGGGTAAGGGGTAAGGATAAGAAGTGCACAAGACAACAATAAACTCTCTCTGTTCATTTAAAAAGGAAGCTTATCCTTTTTGATACAACATCTGCACGGGCTGCAAGGTGGCTCAGTGGTTAGCAGCGTCGCCTCGCAGCTAGAAGGTCGCCGGTTGGCGTCCCGGTGAGGACACCCGGGATCTTTCTCTCCATGTTCTCCCCGTGCAGCGTGGGTTCTCTCCGGGTTCTCCGGCTTCCTCCCACAGTCCAGAAACATGCTGAGGTTAATTGGTGATTGTAAATTGTCCGTAGGTGTGAATGTGAGTGTGCTTGGTTGTCTGTCTCTAAGTGTAGCCCTGTGATAGACTGGTTACCTGTCCAGGTGAACCTGCCTTCACCCTGAGTCAGCTGGGATAGACTCCAGCTCCCCATGACCCTAGTGAGGATTAAGCCATGTATAGATAATGGATGGATGGATGGATGTTGATGCACCTGAACACATCATCAAGTTTTCTCGGGTCGCCGGATGTTTCATGTCGTTTGGCATCAGACACACTCGCCCAGACAGTGTTGATTAAGGAAAAGGTTCCCTGAGAGACAAATTACCTCATTACACGTGTTCCTTCCACGTAGTTTTGAAACGATGAAATCAGCACAATTTTTAATGACTGTGCACAAACAAAGTGACACCACGAAGTCGCTCACTTGCTTTTAAAAGCCTGTTTCTGACTCTGGCTTCACAGCATTTCTGTCTTATAGATGAATTTTAGGGAAAACAAAGTCTTAAAATTGTCTGTTATATTTTAAATAAATATAATTTCCAGTTAAAATAGACAGCAGACTGTACATACACATTATAAATACATGTGCATGTTTTATATCTCGTGTTTATATTCTAGCAGGTGCCCGTGTGTGTGTGCGCAGTAAAGGAATGTGGTCTGAAACGAACCCGTTCTAGCTAAACCCACTGTGGTCGTCTACCTGGAACCACTAACTCACACACACTCCAATTATTCTGGTCCATTAACCACAAGGCTCGGCATAAATGCCACAGTAGCCTTCAGTATAATTATGTTATTCTTTCACAGCAGTGACATTTATCTGCAGAAAAAAAGTGTGCACGCATTGTAGTTCACATGTGCACACACACACGCACACGGAAACACACACACACACACACACACACATATTGCATATTGGAGAAACCACAGCCAGGCGCTTTTATTCTGAGTTTTTTTTGTTCTTCATTTCATTCTTTCTTTCTTTCATTCATTCCTTTCTGTGTGTGTGTGTGTGTGTGTCTATCCGTGTGTGGTTGTGTGTGTGTGTGTGTGTATCCGTGTGTGGCTGTGTGTTCTGCTGGAGGGGAGAGCGTGTCTGTGCGATGGAGAGACAGGCTCAGCCAGGCGGAGCAAAGATGCCACTCAAACTCAGACAGGGTCTCAATAGGGGTACAGAGAGGGGGACTTGTGTTGGTACTCTGGCAATGGGTGCTGTGTGTGTGTGTGTGTATGTGTGTGTGTGTGTGTGTGTGTGTGTGTGTGTGTGTGTGTGAGGATGTCAGTCAGCCTTCGGCATCGTTTCCAGACGGAGGGAATGGTTTTGTTTCAGCTCAAAGGAGAATTTTCTCTGAGGGAAGATGTCGTGTTCAAATAAAGAGGTTTATTGCTTTTAGTGTTTTTAGGATCTTTTCTATCTTCTTGTATAAACTGTACGTGAGCGTACCAGTATGTGCTCCATGTCCTCCTGTTATTAGAAAACATTGAAATTTTTAAAATGCGTGTGAGCATTGACATGAAAGGATTTAAGCCTTTAAACGAGGATGTTTATCGTCACAGTGAGCGTAATGTTTAGAGGTTATCAGCTGTTTTTATCTCATTTTATTTTAATAGTTTCTGCAAATATTACTTAAAACAACATAAACGATTTTGTGGAGCAGAAATCTTCATCCTCAGTTTGAAAATAAAGCTGAAAATTAACAGATGAATAATGAAACACGACAGAGAGATTGACGTAGAGAGACAGATAGTTTTGATTTATGGAGAATATCTTACTGCTTGCTCTGAGTGGTTTTTCGATCCTCTATCTCCTCTCCCCTTCCCCCTTTCCATCACCTTCTCCTCCATCCCATTAGCTGATTGCCTGTGCAGCCACCACAGAGCTGGAAGCTTGTCAGGAAGGTCCGAGAGGGGACACGCGAGAAACCCTTTGACCTTTTCCTCCACTTAACCTTTCATCCACATCAGCATCCGTCTCTCGTCCTTTATTTCTCTACCGTTTCCTCTCCTTCCGTCTTTTTTCCACCTTCTCTTGTCGACTGTAGAGCTGACCTTGTAGAAAGACCCGCTAATGAAGATTGGGCAGCACTTCACTGTCTGGAATGACTCATCTCTCGCTGTGGATGTCGGCCAAACGACGTGTCACATTTTAACTGTAAAGTTTAGTCCACTTGTTAAATGAGCAGAGGAGAGTAAATTGGCGAAGGAGGAGCTCTGACGGCGGCTGTAACGAATAGAGTTTGTCTCACAAGGTTAGTTATGGAGCTCGCCGCCGTCTCTGTGCGACGTACGTGGAAGCTCGCTCTCTGTTTGTAGTCAGCGAGCGATGTGCATAAACAGAGGAATTTATTTTTATGTGTTGCTGGTTCCTGCTTGACAGTAGGAGTCAGTTAATTGAGGAGAGCCCGTCTCTCCAAAACAACCTGAATGTGTGTGAGGAGGAGCAGATGTGGAGGGTTAATGAGCAGAGGAGAATCCTGCAACGCCAAGGCAAGACGGAGAGTAAAACCAAAACCGAGCGGATTCTGTTCGACAGGTTCAAACGGGCCGAGAGAAGACGGAGGAAAACAAGGCATCCATCAGGGCCCGGTGTCCGTCCTCCCCCTCCCCGCCGCTAAATGTACCAGCCAGTGTCCTGCCTTCACCACAATTCAATTCCATCTATAAATAACCTTTCTTGTAAAGGACTCGCTGGCGCAACATTTTCTGATTGCAGAGATACACAAACCACACCTCCCTCCCTCCCTCTGTCTGTCTGGGCCGGCTTCCATGGCAGCTGTTGCTGGTCACTCGTTGGTTGCTGCGGTTTATTGGTGCATCTTTAATGAGGCCGCAGGCAGCACGATAAAGTAAAAAGCCTTCTGCACTTTCAGCAGTTTGTGTCCATTAAAAATATGAAGTTTTCTCACCTTTCTGAGGTTTATTTGCTCTCAGCGAGAGGAAACCGGTTTCACGTCCGCTCAAATTTCCTCCTCAGCTGCCTGATTTCGAGAGGCGGCGTAATTATGTGGACTTGTTTTTTTTTCATACGCTGTACAAGGAGCCTCATTATCTTTCCCGGCAGTGGAACCATCTATTGGTTTTTACTTTGCTCACTTCAGCCTTTTTATTAAACACACACGTTGACTAGAACACAGTCTTGGGTTGTGCATGAAGCAAACTGCAGAGTGGTTGTTTTACAATATTCTTTTTAAAACGTTCCTTCCAACTTGTGATGCTGAAATAAACAACTTCGCAAGACTCAGATAATCTAAGTAGGAATAAATTAAGAACCGTCTGCTGTGTGTACTTGATGTCTAGTTTCACATTATTGTTCTGGACACTCCTGTGTTAACTTTTCCTTCTGACTCGGTTCTCTTTTTCAGGTTTGGGGTGTTTGAGTTCCTCAGTAACCACGCCAGGGATGAGTCGGGTCACCTGGACAGCACCAGAGGCCTTCTGTGTGGGCTCGGCGCCGGCGTCATGGAGGCTGTTCTGGTGGTCTGTCCCATGGAGACTGTCAAGGTGTGTTACTGTAATTAGATATTTGTATGGATTAGATTGATTTTTTTTTAGTGTCGTGATGCACACTTGGTTCCCAACCAGCCTAAAGATACACAAAAAAATCCCACCCATGTGCTGTACTTTGTGAATTTGTTGTTTTTTTTTGTCAAAAATAAACTAATTTTCTCTGGGAGGATTTGATCCTTTTAATGAAGTTTGATCCACAAAATAAGCACGCTGATGTTTTTCTCATTTAAAAACAAAACTACAGCATTAGTTCTTCTCTATTCAGCACATCCTTAAACCAAGAATATCAGACGTGGAAGCATTTCAGTTTGAAGCGAATACTATAGAGAGTAAATCTGTAAGTCAGGAACTAAAAGTGTCTTTACCAGAGACTAAACATTTCTCCAGTTTTCTCCACCGTCTGCGTCCGGATGATGATTACAGTGTTTTGTTTTTATCTCTCAAGGTTAAATTCATCCATGACCAGACGTCGGCCAACCCCCAGTACAAAGGCTTCTTCCACGGAGTCCGAGAGATCGTCAGGTCTCAAGGTAAAGACCGGCGCTAATGCATGTAGTTCAGCTGACATCTACTGGTCAGACGGGGTAATGCAGCTGGAAACGTGGTTCTCCTCCATCAGTGATGTTGTTTGACTAACTGAGAAAAGTCCAAGGAGTTTATCCTCTTGCTTCCTGCCCGAACAGGAATAAGAGGGACGTATCAGGGTCTGACTGCCACGGTGCTCAAACAGGGCTCCAATCAGGCCATCCGCTTCTTTGTGATGACCTCTCTGAAGAATTGGTACAAAGGTTAGTCTCCACGAGGATTGTTTGTCTAATATTACTGTAAACGACTTTAAGTTTTAGTTTTGTGCACTAGTTTAAGCACCAATAAAAGCCTTCCTCCCATTGTGTGGAATGAGGACACAGTGTCGTATGAAGTCTGGATTCGTACTGTGTGGAATTAGGACACAACTATTGTCTGATCGTCCAGAACTTTGGCAAAATGCCTGCAGGGTTTCATCAAGTAGCCGCCCTGTGCGCTGGTTCAGGACCAGGCCAGAGTCATACTTGGCCGTCACTGACTCGTGTGTGATATCTTTCACTAGGCGATAACCCCAACAAAGCCATTAATCCTTTGTTGACTGGACTGTTTGGAGCCATCGCAGGAGCAGCCAGTGTGTTTGGAAACACTCCACTAGATGTCATCAAGACCAGGATGCAGGTACACGACGCGCTGGCTGCGATACAGCGCAGGCTTTGGTGCTCTTCGCTGATGTTTTATTTCAAAATTGTGGAACTGTGTGAACCTCCTGACACTGATAAGGTCTGACGCTGCATTTGTTTTCTTTCGACAGGGTCTGGAAGCACATAAATATAAAAGCACTCTGGACTGTGCCGTGAAGATCCTGAGATATGAGGGCGTGGCAGCGTGAGTATGCACCCGCTTCTTTTTAGTTTAGCGTCTGTTTTTAGTGTTGGTTTCACAGCAGGTATTTGTGCCCTTTATTCACAACAAGGCTGCATTTCTTACTCAGATTACTGTTTGTAGTTTTACCACATGAGAAACGAGAACTTTAGGAATTTTAATTAAATAAACACTGAAACTGTGTCTGTAGATTTACCTCCTAGAAATAATCAATCAAATAATAAATACACTTAATAATTGTGTTTATTTCAGATAATGTTTGATAAAAGTGCAGAAGATTAGATGATTAATAAATATGATTAATTGAATAAAGAAATAGTAAATGAATCTTGAATGCTGGTAAATCTCGTTATGTGTCAACTATGTCGTTTTTCCTGATGTTTTACGTTTTTCTGTCCGTGCACATGTAGTTTCTATAAAGGGACGGTTCCCCGGCTGGGCCGAGTGTGTCTCGATGTGGCCATAGTCTTCATCATCTACGAGGAGGTGGTGAAGGTCCTGAATAAAGTCTGGAAGACAGAATGAGCCGCTGGACGTACAGAGAAGTCGGCGGCTTCCGGCACAGATCTGAGTTCAGCAGACCTCTTCTGTATCATCAAACCATCTGAAGAGGTGACGAGGCAGAGAGCTGAGCTTAGATCAGTGTGACATGCTGACCAAGAGCTCACCGACAAGAAGCTTCAGAGAAGAAAGAAAGCCTGCAAAGAGGCCCCACATCTGGGAAAGCAGAGCTCTGAGCATCAAGACTCCACCGAGGGCCGAGTGGGATTCTCAAGTTAACCAAATAAGTGTGAAAAAAGATGCTTTGCCTTCGAGATACGTCACCAGTTTCTGAAAAAGAAGGAAACCTGCAGCTTTTTTCAAGTTATCTGGTTCACTTTCTGTGTAACCTGCTTCGTAAAACACCGTCCTTCAGCGAAGAGCATCACTTCTGGTCCTTCACAGCTGTTTCGCTGATGTTTACTGCACATGTGCAGGTGTCATTCTGGGTTTTCTTGCGTTGGTGTTGCTCTCTGTCTCTTCTTGTGCCTGACATGGTTTAAAGTCCAGAGGAGCCAGACTGCAGCTGGTTGCAGTTTACAGCCACATAAACCGCAACGACTTCTATAGCTAGGCCTTCAACTAAATTAATTTTAACTTTTTAGAATATGCCAATTATTTTTTATAAAATGTAGATTCTAATTTAGTTTATTACCAGCGTCGTAGTGTATTGTGAGAAATAATATATTTTATTCCTGTGCCAAATGCCAAACCTATTTTGTTCAGAGTAAGAACACGTAAACGTAGCCTGATGATCTTAAGAAGAGCAAATGTAATGATTCATACTGTGGTATGAGTCATATTGTGATATTTTAATGTATTTATTGAAAAGGGGGATTGTTGAATAGATAATTGAGACCATTTACTGTTAATCTGTGCCACATGTGTGAAGTTTTTTTTCTTCCTGTAATCGGTTGTAAAAGTGTTTTTCAGATATTATGAAATTATTTAATTGCTGTATTTCACTGTGAGTCTAAATGACAGAGTTTCCTCAGACCTTCCCTGTCAGTGGAAACACTTCCATTCATCAGGTCTTAACACCAGATGAAGTTTCTCATCCTCTCTTCTTTATACTGGATGCTTCCTGCACCTGTGGTTCCCACGCTGGACCCTTCTGATGGATCAGAAGATAAATATGAGCGGTTACAAGATAGTTAACTGGAAATAAAGTTGAAAATATTCTTCTGGGTTACATGTTTATGTTCATTTTTGCAGCGAATCCTTGTCACAGTCCGTAGACGTGCCAGTGATGAGGAGTCACTGCTTCGATTTGGGAATCACTGTTCAAGTTTCTAGTTTCCGTGCCACCATGTTTCATTCAGGGTTTTACTTCTCACTCATGTGCCTTTTGCTGTTGTGTTTGCTGGTAAATGCTTCTTTAATCATCTTCCAAGCAGCTTCTGTTGTTTTTATAACGACGAATTAAAACCGCTCGTCGCATTAAAACTGTCACGGTTTAGAGGTGTCGCTGCCACGATTGTATTAGAACGATGATGGATTTTATTTACAAAGTGTTAATTTCATTTTGTCTTCTTCTGTTTGACCAAACTAAATACTTGTGTTGTTTGTTGCCAAATACACGAGAGAAAATTTTATTGTGATGGTAAATCAGTGTATTCCACGGCTGTGTGTGTGTGTGTGTGTGTGTGTGTGGCTCTGTGGTTCATTATGAAGACGCTTGTGCAATAAACGCCGTCCCGTCTCTTCTGTCTGTGCTGAATGTAAAGTCCTTTGTTGTAGGGGGATTTCAAAACTCATTAAAAGAAGCATCTGAAACCTTGAGAGCATGCAGATTGTTGTGTTTTTCTTACCCTCCCTCCCTCCCTCGCTCGTCTGTTGTTCTGCCCTTTTTCGGATCACGTTGGGACGAGCCATGGGGGGCAGGTAGGGGAGGACTCAGACAGGGAGCTCATTGTTCCAGTTTTGGCTGATGCTCATGTCGGCTGAATTAACGATCCATCTCTCTTTCTTCCCCTCTCCCTCTCTTAGTCTCGTTTTCACTCTCTTTCTCCCTCACACACACTTTAAATCCCTGGTGCCCCTGTGTTTGTTGGGCGAAGGAATGCGCAGCTCTGTGCAGAAGACGGGAGTGAAGGCAGCATGTTGTGGACGTTTTGGCCAGAAGGAGGCAACGAGGAGAAGTGTCCAGAAATACTGTGTTTATGTTGGCTGTGAAGTCATGGTTAAATGACTACAA